TGTTTTGTTTTCTGTTCTACCCTGGTTGCTGCAGTGTTGTTTTTCAATGAAGTTAAAGGGGGAAAAACACAAACAACAGCAAACTAACCTAAAAGCCCCAACAAAAACAGACAACTGGCTAACCAAAAACCAAATAACTGAATATGAAAGGATTTTCTTTCAGAAATATTTGGTTATTTAATTCACTATAGAAAGCAACTGTTATCTTTTAAATAGAAACTTCTTGATACTGAAGTTTATTTAAATAACATACCACCCATGGTTGGCTGTGATGAGGAATAACTGCTGGGAGATGCTTTCATTTAGGCAGATAGAATGCATTGGTTGGGAGTTCCCTGGGCAGTTGCTGCTGTGGACCGTTGTCAGCCAGTCACAGTGCAATGATTTGTGGTCAAAACAGCCTGAAGTTTCAGGTTTTTGGCCACTACATTCTGATTTTTAGCAAACATAACAGAAACAGTGAAGCATATTAATAGGATATTAACTCTATCTGGTGTGTTTGTGCTCCTGAATGAACTCCTCTTCCCAACTGAAAAGTAATTGTGTAAGTCGTTAGTTCTGGGAGAGTAGCTGTAGCTTTGCAGTGTCCATTTTCCTCATCTACAAAATGGGAATAGAAAAATACATAGTGAGAATATGGTAGGTATTTTGGTAGGCTGGAAGCACTCTGGCATGGTCAGCTACTTGGTTCAGCTCCGAAGTAATTTAGAAAGAAAAGTGGTGGTAGTTATAAAAACAAAAGCATTCACACTTTCAGTGGAAACATTTGGATGCTTTCTTGAATTTAATATCAAATGTGCTGTAGGTTTTTTCTTTCTTTTTTTAATTGGAGACTTCCTCATTGCTTCTGATGCTGTTGCAGTCTCTTTGCCTTTCAGCACTGTGCTGACTCGATGTAATCCACTGAAGTGTGGATTAGGGAAGTTCTGGTGCAGCTGACGTGTGTGAAGCATTTTGAAGATATATAACTACAGAAGTACTAACATGGAGGGGAAAAAACCAGACCCAATTATCTTTTTTCAAGGAGATACATTCATATTTGCTAATGGAGATGCAGAAGCATGTATATGCACTTCTTTTGTGTGCTTTCCCCTCTTTTCCCTTCCACTTCTCTTACAAAAGTGAAAGTGGAAATTTATTGAAATTATCCATATGAATTTCAGTTGCTTTTCACGTAATCTTCCATCTCTGAAGGATTTTATTTTTTTTCATTCATCAGGAATGCTCATTCTGATGATGTTTTATAATTCAGTGACCAGTTACCAATACTGAAGACTGGCTGATAAGTATTAACATTCTATGATTAGGTCTTCCCTGAAATTAACTTGATGTTCAGGGTTGGGCAAGATGATGAGATATTTGGGCAGAATTGGGGTTTTGTTTTCAGAACTTTATTTAAAATTCTGTGCACTGTTCTTACATATACACATGTGGCAAGGCGTGATCATAGTGTAAAACTAACAGAAAGCAAGTGGAATGTGAACAGGAGCTTTAAGGCAAGCTTCTGGTGTTGGGAAGGGATGTCTGTCTGCACCTCAAGAACTGCCCTCTGCACATACAACAAGTTCTGAGCACTGTGGTACAGCTGTTCTTTATACTGCAATCATGAGATGCCCTGCACAGGTTATCTAGTGGTCTTTTGAGCTACTTAAAGAAACAAACAAGTCTGCAAATAGAAGCGTAGGACGAACTCTGTATTGATGGGCAGGAAACCACCAATTTTCTCACTGTTCTTGTGTGCTTGACTAAATTGTAAAGGCAATTTGCCTATTTACCCTTAAGTGAAATGCTTTTTGACCAATTAAGTGGACTTGCTAATTACTGTGCTTTTTTGTTTGATTAGGATTTTTGGCTGCAGTGTGAATCACTGAGAACAGGAGAGGAATTTAGAGAAATAGTGGGATCTTTTTAATAGCTTTTGGAAGGGTTTGAGGAGAGTCCTCCAAAGCTGAGGTTGAGGCAGCAGTGAATCTCTGGAAATGCAGAGAACTGGAGAATGTGCAAATGTGTTAAAAACCTTAACAAAGAGCAAGCGTGCTTGGAGTATCTTGCTTAGTCTGTAAAATGGAGTATGTAGGGACTGCTGGTAACTTAGAGCTCTGGTTCTGTTTCCTACCACCATTTCTCCACCCCCTTACAAAGAGCTTCAGTATGTTTCTGGCTTTATTATTGTATTTCTTGTGACTTTTTTTACAAGCACCAGTATTTCCTACAGCTTTGTAATATCACAGTACCAACGATGTTACCTGTGAAGAAAGGGTTTCTGAGCAAGACTAGTTAGGACAAAAATTAATGCTGTCTTTGAGTACGTGAAGTGTTAGTTTTACCCTTCACTTTAACCTTTAGATAAGAAGATTTGTGTTTTCAGGAGATAGCATGTGGAAATCTTTCCCTTAGCTCATGTTTAAGAAGCACTGTTTTGCTGTATTTCTACTACATAGCAGTTTTATTCTGTTGTGCATGAAATAACATCACTGCAAATACGGAGGCAAAAATCAAAGGTGATGTGCATAGCTTTTATTTCATGTTTAGATTATTCACTAATTCTAGTTATAGATTAATGTTCAGGTTTGCAAGAATCAGTGGTAGCATAGCAGGTCTGCTTTTCCTCCCATACAAACAGCTTGCTTGCAGTTTTCATGCCAAAGCAGTTTGAATGATGTTGGTAACAACAATGGCTACTGTCTTACTAATGAAATTTTGATGGAAACTTCCCACCTGCTGAATGTGGGAAGGAATGCCTTTTTTTCTTCTACTATGTAAAAAATTCTTGGTTTGTTTTATGTGGCTTTTGCATGATGACCTTGAATTTTTGCTTCTATTTAGGTATGGTTTTGCAGCATAATGAATTGACATGCTTCTGTTATCATGCTGATGCTTCTCTTTGTCTTGGTTTATCTGAATTCTCTCAGATAATAGTACAGATGTCTGCCCTTTATCTGTGTAATAATGTAGAGCTAACTAGAGACATAGCTTAATCCCATTTAAAGTGTATTTAAAGAATATGTGCTTTTATTTTTAACTCTTCCTCCTGTATGCTAAGCTTCTGAATTGGTATCTGTCACTTGGGACCGACAACACTATCCACTATCTCAGTTTAAACCACCCAATATTTTTCAAGTAGAATTCAATTGGACGAGATCAGTCTTCAACTATTTGCATAAGGATTAAAGTTTAATGAGATTTCTATATAGGAATTCGGTGGTGTTTGATAACGATGTGGATTGGCTTGAACTTGAAATCATCAAGATGATGCTGAGCTCCAGCACCACAGGATTTTGTCAACTATCTTTATTGGGATTCCTGGGCAGTTTTTCATCTGCAGGGAGTAGGTTGTCCTGAGCTGGATTACTGAAGCAATTATGCTAAGTAGTTGTCAATGAATAGTGATAATTCTTTTGTATGTCTGGATCCTGGCTCTTTTTGTTCTTTAAAAATAAAAGAAATAAAATTGAAGAGCAGGTCAGCATACTGTCACAGGTTTGATGCACCTTGAAAATGGTCGTGGTGCAGTCAAGGCAAACTCCCATAGAGGTTTCTGTTGGTTCACTTCATGGCCTGCAGCTTTCAGTTACTGTAATAAAAAAATATTGTGCTTCACTTGCTCTTCCTCCTCAAACAGCTTGTGGGTTTTCTCATCCTTGAAGAGTTTTAGGTCCCTAAATTTAATCTGTTGATAGTCAAATTCGTGTATTTTACACTGCAGTGGTGGTCTTGTTGCAGTGCCCATCCTGGTGGCTGCTCTTTGGGGTGTGGATCAGTAAACCAACTTATCTCTGCTATCATAGACTGAACAGGCTGTGCCAGTTTCAGAAATATTTTTCCCCATACAGTTTAGTCTCTTACCATCTTCCTCCTGCTGGAGGAAATGCCTTGGCAATGACACTCGTGTATCTGGTAACCACGCCTGTGCAGGTTTTATTTTAATAGGGATACTTCAGTTCTTCCATGACCTGGGGACTTTTTTATTCAGTTGACATAATCTAATTTTATTTTTGGGGCAAAAGGTGATGTTGCATTCATACAGTCTTTTTAGGGTACGGTAGTTCATGAAGTGTCTTTCTGTTTGACCTTGCAAAAATGCACTGCCATCTGCTATTTTGACTCGCTTCATTTAGTCTGTTTCCCTTGACCTGTATCTTTTCTTTTCCTGAAACTGAGCAGGTGCTTGATGCTGCCCTCCTTAAAGAGAGAGATTTATTTTCTGATCAGTAGTTTATGACGGATTTTTTAAGCTTCTCCTTGACTTTCATCCTTCTTTTATTGAAACGTTGGCCCTAATCTGATGTCCTATGTGAACAGCATCTTCTTACTTTTAACACCTGTCTTCCTATGGGCATCTATTGGTGTGTCACACACTTGAGATAACTTATAGCTATATAACTCAAATTGTCATGAATACATATATATATTTAAGTGATTTTTTCAGATGTAACTGTGTACTTAGATGCACTATTTCTGCAGCTTGCTCACTGGGTTCTGCTTTTCTTTCCTTCCCAATCTTTGCCTGCCATTTAATTAAAATATATATAAATGTTAAAATATAAATTCTGCTGACTGAATCTGTGGCAAGAGGACTAGATATGACCTCATTAAAATTAATGAATGTTCAGAAATACATTTGCAGCTTTTAAATAAATACACTATACAAATATTGTCAGAGTTTACTTTTGATTGATTTGCAAAAAGCAGAGTTTAAATTTCTTCCAGAAATCAAAATATGAAGTCTCAATCTAAAGAGACTGAAAACTTAGCATCTCCTGTTTGATCAATCTTCCTGATTGATCTTTGGTTTTATCTTTAAACTGAAATACTTTGTAAGTACTTCAAGGAATGTGTATTTAACATAGAATGGATTTTTTTTATTTTTTATTTTTTTTAGTGCTAATTAAGTAAGACTTCTGGAATGAAATTCTTTCAAATTAGTGAAAAAACTTATCAACCTGCTGTTTTAAGATATATATACACACACTTAGGATTTGTTTTCTCTCTCTCCCCAGCGAGCACTTGTCCTGCTCATTCACCTTCTTCTTACATGGGGATAGTAATGTTTGCACCAGTGTGGAGATCAGTCAGCATCAACCTGTGTACCTGCTTAGTGAAGAACACCTCACCCTTGCCCAGCAGTCTAACAGCCCTTTCCAAGGTAGGTTTTCCTTATCACTAATGTCTGTTGGAATAAATCGGTCCTTTGAGTTGTTCAGAATGAGGATTTCTGATAGAGGATGGGAGTGGGAGCAGGATGTTACATGTTGTGTTCTACTCAAACGTCTGCTGTACTGACATAGCTAGTGAAGTCATTTGGTCTATCTCAGATCTTCTGCAGGTGGATGATTTCCATATTCCTCTTCTGGCATGTTGCCCAATAATGTGATTTATGGCACAGTAAATTTAATTTCCAAGTACTGTCCTATTGGTGACTTGAATATTTAGCTTTTTCAGCAGTGTTTTCAACATGCTTTATAACCCCCACCTACCTTCCTCGACTCCTATTTTAGAAGTCCATTTCTGCCCTGACTTTAAGTAATCTATTCACTCCCCTTCCCCCTTTTTATTTGGCTCTCCCTTGCCTGTAAATTCCTTTGGTTCCACCAGCAGATGCAGGCTATGCTCTCGAAGACAAAGGAGCGATGGGGCCTGAGTCTGGTTAGTGGGCTGTTTGATCATTCCCTGTGTTAGACACACTTATGTTGGCTACAGAAATCACTTCTCCTGCATGACCACGTGCTGCCCTTGTTTATTAAATGCTCATTGTCCAAACTTGCTTTCTTTGAATGCAATTTAACAGCAGCTGTGCTTTCCTAATATGGACAAGACTAAACATGAAACAGATTACTTCCTTCTATACATGTGGCATTGTTGTAACAGTACCCAGCAGAACAAAAGGATGGGGAAACACCTTAACTCTGTCAGAATTTGAGATGGTCCTCTTTATCCCCCCTATGTATTGCAGAGTCTTTGCTGGTCAAGATCAAAACTTGATTGCTGCTTGTTTAAACAGATTAATTTGTAATTGTGGTAACTTGATTCTTACAGTACATGTACATTTAACAGTGCATACACATTGCCTACAACTTGTGCCATGTAGTAAAATGTGATCAGGTTGCATTCTGACTTGCCAGTGGTAAGTTGTTAATTTGGTGTGGCTGAAATAACACTAATGCTGTTTTAATGGGCAAGTGCAAATTTTGGTTAGATACAATCTAATTTATTTCTGTTTATCTTTTTAGTTATTCTAAGTCCCTTTGGATTAAATGGCACGCTCACAGGGCAGTCATTCAAGCTCTCTGATTCATCTACAAAAAAGCTTATTGGTGAATGGAAACAATTCTATCCTGTCACTTCAAACTTGAAGGAGGGGTCTGAAGAAAAACAAGAAGATATGGATTGGGAGGATGATTCTTTAGCTGCTGTTGAAGTCCTTGTTGGTATGTCCTCTCATTACCTTTTAATTACTGAAATTAACAGGTTAGGTTTGAAATGGGGTCACGTTTGCATTCAAAGCTTTTATTCTTTTGCAACTTTTTGTGACCATTTTGCTCTTCTGGTTTATTCTCAGGCCTGGCTAAAATGAATGGCTACTTAAATTGGGTTCTGCAGACCTAGTGGGTGAGGAGTTTTAGTTTGTGCCCTTAGAAACGAAACTGTTGATTTTATATTATAAACAAAACAAAAAAAACCCAAAACAAACAAACCACTAGACTATCACTGTTGGCATCTGAGATGCATCAAAAGCATGTTGTGCTGTTTCAGAATCTGTGCAGATTCAAACAGAACAGACATGCCTTTCAGGGATTTCTTCAAAACCACAATCCTAAAGAACTTAATGTACTCAGGCACTGCATTTATCTGCTGCTGTTCCTAAAGTGTAAGCTCCTGGGACACAGTAGTTTGTTTGTCTACGGTGGGCTATTGACCTTTGATTTGCCAACTAATGTAATCATTTCTCTGTAATAAATGGTACAAGCTTGTATTGCAATGGTAGCTGGAAACCGTTATGTTGATGGGGATAGGAATCTTGTCAGTTTTATATTATGCTTAAAAAATGTTGTCTTCAGTTTTCTTTATTTATAAAAAAAGATAAACACAAGTAGTTGTATGCATATGACAGGGTTGTCTCTGGCTATACAAAAAAAGTGAATTTAAAAAATTCACTCACCTAAATCTTCCATATAATAAAGCAAAGCGTAAAGTAATGAGGATAGACTATTTGTGCAAGGTAGGTAAATTTAAGAGCAGCTGGTAAGGTGATCCTTCTGTTGGCTATCTTACATGTAAGTTGTTGGTAAACAACTGTAAAATAGGCCTGCTTTTTTTTCCTTCATAGCTGGTGTGCGAATGGTGTATCCAGCGTGCTTCGTCCTAGTTCCCCAAACAGACATCCCTGCTCCTAGCACTGTTGGGACGTCTCACTGTTCAACTACTTGCTTGGGTGTCCACCAAGTGCCTGCTTCCACACGAGATCCTGCCATGTCCTCAGTAACTCTGACTCCTCCGACATCCCCTGAAGAAGTTCAAACAGGTACAATGCAACTAGCTTCTTGTGGACGCTTTGATGGCTTCTTCTTTAGATGAAGCTTTTGTACCTGATGCTGTGTAGTCTAGTACTTTCCTCCTCTGTGTGTGTGGTGTGTATCTAAGCATTTTGGAGCAGCTTTATAAGCATCATTGTGTAGCTCAGAAATGGGCAAGATGGCATTCAGCCTTTTCACAGTCCTTGGACATTCCTTTGTAGTTGAGATTCTAGTAGGCTGTGTGTGAGCAGTGAATATAGAAATAAATCTGCTTTAAGTCAAAGCAGGTAAGGCTTAGCAGTTATTTCAGACAGCTTTACGAATAGTGTTGTTTTTTTTTTGTTTTGTTTCTCTTCAGAAGAGGGATGTGTGAGCAGTTTGTGGTGGGGGGGTTGTGGGTTTGGGTTTTTGTCTTTTTTTTTTCCTGCTATACTTAAATTTTCTGTCTGTTTTGATTGCCTATAATTGAAGAAGATGCTTATTTTCCCTGATGTTCCAGTGTTGGTTGAATTGAAAGTGGTTGTGAGCATATAACTTCATTGCCTAAAACTTTTTCCTTTGTTACTGCTTTTCAGTTGATGCTCAATCTGCCCAGAAATGGGTGAAGTTTTCTTCAGTTTCTGATGGATTTATCTCTGACAGTACTAGCCATCATGGTGGCAAAATACCTAGAAAACTGGCCAATCAGGTGGTGGACAGAGTTTGGCAAGAATGCAATATGAACAGAACACAGAACAAGTATGTACTCTCCCTTCATGATACAGAGGGAAATGTGGTATTTTGTATGTGTTGTAGAAAGAAGCTCTGGTAAATATGCTGTGCCTGCTAGTAGAAGGTGTTTTTCTTCTTGTTATAACATTCTGAAGGAGTTAATTTGTTCCTAACTAGTGGATTGCCTATCACTTAAGTTTAATGCGTTCATAAATGGTTATTTATAATTTCTTTGTTGAATCCTGTGTCACAAAACTGTTCTTGAGGCTTGACAGAAGATGATATGTGCTGATCTCAAATAACTCTCCCATACTGAATCATAGGCGGAAATATTCTGCTACATCAAACAGCTTGTGTGATGAAGAGACAGCTGACAAGGTAGCATCCTGGGATTTTGTTGAAGCCACACAGAGGACAAATTGCAATTGTTCAAGGTATGGTACTCGGCAGACTCATAGTTTATTTCAGCAAAGTTTCACTCTGGTAGAATGTTTAGGTGACTGAAGTGTTGCATAGGCTCAAAACTGTTCTGATTTAAATTGTTACAGTTATTACCTTGCAAATTGAGTATTAGAATATTCAAAATTAATGTCTGGAGGGTGTAGCATGTTGAAAGAAATGCATTTTTCTCCTTTATTGAAATATGTTTTAGCTTTCTGGCTTCAACGTGAACTGTGTATTTTGTAACTTTCCTAATAGAAGAGTGGCAGAGTACCCCGACCCTAAGGATGTACATGTAGTTCAGTGGCATAATCCTACATGCTTAATTCTAGGCTTTGTTATTTTGTATCACTCATTCTGTTGGATCATCTTGAAAGTTGGTCTCTTGAACTGGAAGTTGAAATGTTTAATCTCAAGTGCATTTATACTGGGGAGGAGGGAAAGAAAGAACCAAACTAACTGTATTAATGCAGTGGAGGCATGAAACCTTTCTCAGGGGTAAATAGCTACAAAAGGTGCAAAATATTTTGTAGCTTTTGTGGGACTGACAGCTTGACTTCTAACTCCTTAATGCAGGGGCTTGCACAACACTATTGGTTTGCATTGGTGCTTGAATCCAGGAAGTTACTTGCTAATTCTTGGTTTTTTTCTATTGATTCAGCAGTGTTGGTGGAAGTTAAAAGCAACATTTTGTTCATATATCTATCTTTTTCTGTTAATGGAAGACGATATTTTAGAAATGCCTTTGAGGATTATGTGCGTGCTGGGCTCATAAGACAGCTTTTCCCATTTTTTAAGTTGGTATTCTGAGATATTGCAGTGATACTCCAGTCATTCAAATTAAGTTATGGTCAGAGGCAGCTTCATTTCAGAATGGTATTGGATTCAGACTTCTATAATCGCATGTTTAATGACTTAGAAGCCAATTCTTACCTAGTGAAAAAGTTATGATAGGCATATTTGAAAGATTAATGTGAAGTCTTTTCCCCTGTGTTAATTCTGCAGGCACAAAAATCTCAAACCAAGGAATTCAAGTCAACAGGGGCAGGCACCACCTGTGGGCCAGCAGCAACAAGCAGCTCCAAAGCACAAGACAAATGAGAAGCAAGACAAAGGGGATAAACCACAAAAACGCCCTTTGACTCCTTTTCATCATCGTGTATCTATCAGTGATGATGTTGCCATGGAGGCAGATTCGGCAAGTCAGAGGCTTGTGATGACTGCACCAGACAGTCAAGTGAGATTTTCAAATATCCGAACTAATGATGTAGCAAAGACTCCTCAGATGCATAATGCTGAAATGCATAATGCTGAAATGGCAAATTCACCTCAGCCACCACCGCTTAGTCCTCACCCGTGTGATGTAGTTGATGAAGGGGTAACTAAAGCTCCTTCTACTCCTCAGAGTCAACATTTCTACCAGATGCCAACACCAGATCCCTTGGTTCCCACAAAAGCAATGGAAGACAGACTTGATGGCTTGTCTCAGCCTTTTCCAGCTCAATTTCCTGAAGTTATAGAGCCTACGATGTATGTTGGTACTGCAGTGAATTTGGAGGAAGACGAAGCTGATACTACATGGAAGTATTACAAAGTTCCAAAGAAAAAGGATATGGAATTCTTACCACCTCAGCTTCCAAATGATAAGTTGAGAGATGATCCAGTAATACCTGCTGGACAGGAGAACATAACATCAGTTACAGAGTAAGTAATACTTTGTTACAGTAATAATGTGAGAAAGTGAGGAAAGTGAAAGGCCAAAGGCAGTAGTTTCTCCTAGTAAACAAGCTTGACACTAAAGCATAATTCTGCTCTCGTCAGCTTGAGCAGCATTGCTGAATGAGCCTTGTTTTCAGTGCTGTCTGTCCATAAGAACGTAATACTTGTGAGATGTGGGCACGAAGCACAGTCAAATATGTGGTAAGACTTTCCAGCTTTTCCTCGTTAGAACTCTGAATTAGCAGATGATAATGAACATTATGTTTCTGCTCAAAGATTAATCTGTAGCCAAATTATGCCTGGTTGGGACTCACGGTCCCAAACAGTTCTGCTCTTGTCTTTATTCTTTAATTTTGAAAGCTGGTTATTTAAATGACTGCGAACAGTGTAGAAGCTAATCTGCTTTCCTGGAAGACATTAACTCTAATATGGATGACAACTACTTTCTTATACCAGAAATTTCTCAAGAGTATATAACATATAAACGTGTTGTTGCTGTGACTTGGGTTTGTTGTTCAGCAGGTTTAAGGCCTTGAGGTTATCATTCAAATGGAACAAGTGACCAGTGTTGTCTGCTCTTACTGTTTTGGGCCTCAGATCATATGGAAAACCCCCATTCATTAAATGAAGCATGTTTAAATTGAGAGTCATGCTAGTTCCGTCCTAAAACCACAGGCTTGAAGCTACAGGAAATGTGTCTGGGATCTTCAAATTCTTTTTATTTTTGCTTAAGCTGATTTTTTGGTGATTTATTGTCTAAGTGTTGATAAACTGTGAAGCTTAGAGGCAATTGAGGAAAAGCAACAATAGTGTTTTTAGTGTTAAAACTTGTATTGATTCCATCAAAGCAGGGGTGTAGCTGTGTGAGTTTTGTTTATTGCAGAATGAATCAATGTGGTTTTTCTTTCCCAGTTAAAGCAAAAAAAAAAAAAAAAAAAAAAACAAAAAACGAAAAAAGCCCAACAAAACAACCCTATAACAACCACCGACAATAATTAAAAACAAACAAAAGCCAACAACAACAACAACAAAAAAACAGCTTACCAGAATCCCCCCAAGCCTTTTGCCTCTGTGTTGTCTCCTTTGCTGTCAAACTGCTTAAGAAATTCTTCTTGTCATCCCTCTTACCTCAGTTCCTCGTGAAGACATGTAGCTTGAAGTGGGAATGCTGCAGGATAAGGGTGGTAATGGGAAGCAACAGGTGCTGATAGGGCTGTAAATAGTTGTGTAAACTGTACTGATGCAGTTGTAGGTGCAGAGGTGACAAACTTTGGTTTAGAGGTCTGATCTGTGGCCAAAAAAACTCGTTGTGAGTGCACCAAGAATTGCTTCTGCCAACTCAATTGCCGTTGATTATTTTGATCCAGAATTGTGGTTTTGTTCAGGTTAAAGGAGAATCTCAGCATCACTGATATCAAATTGAGTTCCATTCCCCCCCCCCAGGACGCGGTGTGCTTAATTTGTGATAGAGCTGAAGCAGCTCCTTGCAAGGCTGAAAATTGGTGTGGTTTTTCTGTTTTGCTGCTGGCAGTGGAGAGCTACAGAGAGCAGTTGTGTTGCATTTGCTGCATAGGAAAGCTGTGAGAAGAGATACATTTGCTGTAGCTGTTGGTCTGTTGTCATACATGTGTTCTAAGCCATATCTTCCAACTGTTAAGAGTTTACATTAGCTAGGGTTTTGTTGTTTGGTTTTTTTTGCAGCTTTTTCAAGATGTGAATTTATAGGATTTTAGCATTTTTCACCCCTGAATTAGTTCCAGCCAGTCAAAGACATGCTTAACTTAAGCATTTTCCTTTTTCTGTTCAAGAAATGGTCTTTCCTTGCATGGTCTGTAGTTTAACAATTTATTAAGTGTGTGTGTGTGTGTATTTTCTCCTGGAATATTTTACCATTAATTTCTTTCCCTCTGCTTATCACAAAATACTGGAAGCTGCTGCTCGCTTCTGCTGTGTACTTTTCTTGGTGTTTAATTCCTTGTTCCTAGAAAGCTGTCTTCCATCTCTGCCTTCTGTGGGATTTATAGAAGATGAAATGCTCAGCTCTGAGTGCTACTCCATACATAAATGCCAATGGTTCTTGACATGAAGCCACGCTCATTGCGCTGTTGGCTGGGGGTAATGGTGGTGTTAAAGATTTTATTGGGGCTGTTGCCACGACCAGCAGAGATGGATTTGATGTTGTTGGCTGTGAGGTGTTTCTTTGGAAAGCTTATTTCTAGGAAGGCTTGACAGAGTAAAACTGCATCTGTGTCCTTTTGCAGACTACTTAAGTTGACAGGGATGTACGAGGCAGTGAGGAAGCTCTTCAGGAATAACCATGCATCTTTCTTTACAAAATTTCAAGGTCTATGTCTTTGAATTGTTCTGTAACACTTTCCTTGCTTTCTGGTCTCCTAAAGGAGAAATGTAAGCCTTATTCTGATCTCCAGATAGTATCTGCATAGTATCTAGGCAGTCAAAACCAAGCCCTGCTAACTGTGAGGGGCATTAGTTTCCTCTGGGATAGCATTTCCTTCTAAGTAGTGGCTTAAGTGAGTAAAGAATAGATGAGCTGGAACCTGTGTTTGGACTCGAAGTACCTGTGATCTCATTCTTGGAAAATGCCTTTTGATTTAATGTGTGAAATCCCTGTGAATGCTTCTTACTGGCTGTTCTGTGTCAGTCTGGGGTGAAGAGGGTCTCTGAGCAAGAAGAAATTGTACAGCTGTGTTTGTGTGACACTGCTGGAATGATTGTCTTGTTGAAAAAATGCCTTCCTCCCATGGTACCTCTTGTGCACTGTGATATATAGAGTAGAAGATAGAGAGGCATAATCTGTAGCTAATATTCATAACATGGCTTTATATTTCCCAAATTCTTTTTGCTTGTGCAATATTACATTGGTGAAACCAATAAATGTTGCAAAAACTTAATTTGTGTACTTATCGACTCCATTTTTGGCTCCAAGTATGACAAGAAGAAAAATGCTGACAGTGAGAAATCTGTTTATTAGTAAATTAGATATTGGTGTGCTGTGACCTTCATGTGGTACTTACAGAACTGACATAAATGACCACTAAACGTAGCAGCATTTGTTATTTCTTGGGATTTTTGGATAGCCTGACTTTGTTTCCAACAAAGCACTGATGTGCATTGTTTGTTGGTTAGACACAGCCAGGTGTTATTGGAAAGGCTGACATACTGTCTTTCTGTCTATAATTAAATGCTTGGGAATTAAATTCTTAAAATATGGAAAACTTGAGCCACTTCTTTCTGACCATTTGTTTAGATGTGGATGGGGAATGGCAATAAGTAATTTTCTAACCTGGTGAGTTTCCTTTAGTGGCAATGGACTGTTTAATCCATTTGTACTTCATAATAAATGACAGCTATAGCCTGGGATGAATTACTAATCTTTATCTGGGTTGACAATGCTTGAGGAGAGCTGGTCAGAATGAGTCACAGTGCTGGATCTGACGTGTGTATGGAGGATGAATTACATGACTAATGATTTTGTCTTCTTCCCAAAAAGTTTTTTGAAGCTGGAGTGGAAGGGAAGAAAGGGGGAAGGAAAGATGAAGTTGCTTTTGTAAAGGGTTGCATGACAGCAAAATTATTTGCACATTAGTGATAAATAATATCTTGTCCTTTTTCATCTGCACAGATTAATGGTGCAATGTAGGAAGCCTTTAAAGGTTTCGGATGAACTGGTGCAGCAGTATCAGAGTAAAAACCAGTACCTAGCAGCAGTAGTGTCAGAAGCTGACCAGGAACCTGAAATTGATCCTTATGCCTTCGTTGATGGTGACGTGGAGTTCTTATTTCCTGACAGCAAAAAAGACCGACAGAACATCGAGAGGGAAACTGGGAAGAAACACAAGGTAAGGGAGTGAGAATGCATATCAGAGATTGAAAAAAATTGCTTTAGTCACTAAATACAGTTTTAATCCTTCTCTTATATGTTAAGAAGTACATTTAAAAACATGTATTCAAGCAGAAGTAGCCAGTGAAAGCAAGCAGCATTCCCTCAATGACTGCACGCTGGTGGTGCTGCTGCACTGGGGCTGATGGCTTGTGCTAGGAGAACACAGCTGAATCCCAACTGAGACGTGCTTATCTAGAAATGGGTGATAGCAGGTGCTTGTGCAAGAGGCTAAAACCAAGGCAAATGCTTTGTTCTTGTTTGGAAAGGTTGAGGGTAGCTGGGGTGAACTCTGAATAGTTGCCTGGGAAGAGGATTACTTTTTTTTTTTTTTGTATTTTAGCCAGTACTGACTAGCTGAGGCTGTATTTAAAGCAGAAGGACCACCTACATCCCTACACCTCCAAAAAGGGAGAAAATACAGCTGTGCTGGGAGGTTGCATATGAAATGAGTTCGCTTATTAGGACTTTATCACATGCTCTCCTGGTATTGAGAGTTTCATTAATAATTACCAGTATAATTAATTTATAACGTTTGATATATTGTGCTTTTTTCAATGAGGTGTTGTAGTAAGAATCTTCAGCTTGCTTTTTAAATTTTAAGTGTTTATCCCCAAGACAAAAGTTACAAATTATTTCTTATCTTTGCTCTCCCTCTGTGTGTTGGTAGCACTGTGTATTGCAGACTTCCTTTTCCCTGAGCAAGTACTGCTAACCAGACCCTCAGGCTACACCTTACTGAGCTAGAAGGCTAATGAGAACCTGATCCTTCTGGTACATGCAAGAATTCCCATAGGGAGATGAGGTGTCCTTCACCCAAACTGATTTTAAGCAAACTTTTCTACATTTTTCTATAATAGGCTGAGGACGGTACGTCTGGTGTTACAGTTCTATCCCATGAAGGAGAGGATGCTATGTCTTTGTTTAGTCCTTCTGTCAAACAAGGTAAAGAGGCTTTTTTTTTTCTTGTAATTGGTTCAGAATCTGTTCAGTAACACACTTTACTTGTTGAACCTTGCAAATAAAAGATGGCTATAAAATCCAAATGAAATGAAGTCGTAGGGATCTCACTTATGTTCTCAGTAGCTCAGTATACTCGAGTATCTTATATGTTTTTCTTTTTGGCTGTCAAAATAGTAATTGAAATGTGGTTTAGTTTTGTTTATCACCAGTGTTTCTGCAATCTGTTATTCTTTATAGATGCCCAACGTATTGCTGCTCATGCTCGCACTGCATCAACCAGCCTGATCCATGAAACGGACTTGGTGGTCTCTTACACTGACCTTGACAATCTCTTCAATTCTGATGAGGATGAACTAACAGTAAGTGATGTGCAAAAGTAATGGCAGCTACTAGACAAAAAACTGCAAGGAATGTGTATGTGTTGGTTTTTAAGAGGTTGCAACACATGTGAATAAGCAAGTGTCGTGAATTCTCTATAGCAGACACACTGTTCTGATTGATGCATACAATCATTTCTGATACACGAGATCAAAAACTTGTTTATATCGTTACTACACAGTCAGTATATGCCTCTGACATTCATATCTCTAGTTATAGTTTCACAGATCTGGCAGTGATCCTGATGCTCTTTTCCTGTGGCCTAGGTACTGTTTAACTTGTCAATATAGGTGATACTGAAACGTAACGCAAACATTAAGGAAAATAGGAATTTAAATGTGGACGTTCTGCTGAATAAGATGCTTCATTGCGGTAGTTATTTTCTAAGTGCAGTTTCTTTTGCAGTCTCCAATGGCTCTGAATTCATTATCTTTAAAATTCTGTTTCAGTACTGTTAGTAATCAGTTGTCTTTTTTGAGTTGGACTTTGTTCTGTTAATAAATCTATATTCCCTTACTCAAACAAAATACCCATCAGCTTGAATGGGAGCTGTGTGAAGGATCTTAATAGCCATCAAAGGTCATTACTATATAAAGCATAAAGCAAGTGTATTTGCTTTTCAGCATGGAGACTCTTATTTTTTTGTAGATTACAGTACTGTCTAAACATTGTAAAATATCTTTTGTTTTAATTTCAATGCCTTTTCTTCCCTCTACCTCTTGTTCTAGCAATTGTTTCTCTATTCTATTCCTATTCATGTGGTAACATCAGTAATGCTAGCATGGCTTTGGGAGTAGTATGTTTTATCTGAGAGATTGGAGGTAGCCCTATTTAGTTGTTAATGTCTGCTTAACAGGCTGAGAGTTACTTTGTAACTGGCTGTTCATTTCAATAGCATTGTGATTTTACTGGAGAGCATTCTGAGCACTACCCCAAATACTAATGTGAGGTTTCTGGCTTATTTTATTTTGTTTATAGTCCCAGCTTTGCATGTCCACTACATGTGAAAGTTGCTGTTAGCAGGAAAAATGAATGCATCTGTGTCTGAAATGATTTTATTACAGTACTTCCCTTCTTTCCTAGCCTGGATCTAAAAGAACAGTGAATGGTGCTGATGACAAATCCAACTGCAAAGAGGCAAAAGCAGGAAATCTAGATCCACTGTCATGCATAAGTAAGCTTTATTTTCTTCTCTAATTAGAATACTAGTTTTAAACATTTAATTGCTAATATGCTATGGGAATTTGGAAGCATATGCTTCCTTTGCCCTGAAATATTAAGACAAAGGAGATAACTCTAAATGTTGTCGTATTCTAAAGCCTACTTCTAATCTGAAATTAGGCACTGCAGATCTCCATAAAATGTATCCAACTCCACCTTCTTTGGAACAACACATCATGGGATTTTCTCCAATGAACATGAATAATAAGGAATATGGCAGTATGGACACTACACTTGGAGGAACAGTACTTGAAGGGAATAGTTCCAGTATGGGAGCTCAGTTCAGGATTGAAGTAGATGAGGGTTTCTGCAGCCCCAAACCTGCTGAAATAAAGGTAGGTAGTATTGATAGCCCTGATATGTTTCTTATGGTGCTGTTCAACCTGTTAATTAATCCTGAATAAGAACTGTGGGAAATTACCTGCAGATTTGTATCTTGTATTATACTGAGGTAGGTAAGATGCAAATAGTAGATACAGTTTTCTAGATGACTATTTTAAACTTCAAGAAAGCGTAATCTCAAATTAGCCATCAGTAAATTTAGGTAATGCATATTGGTAACTTTTGTTCGTGGCTTATTTTGTATTGCTGTGTCATTTGAGTGCAAATGACAAATGTGTAAATCTCAACTTTTATTCAGCCATTCTTTTTAAGGAGCATTTTAATTGCTGATATAATCAAATTCACATGCTTTACTGTGTATAACTTCCAGGATTATTCTTACGTTTATAAACCTGAGAACTGCCAAGCCTTAGTGGGATGTTCCATGTTTGCACCACTGAAGACACTTCCCAGCCAGTGTCTCCCTCCCATCAAACTGCCAGAAGAGTGCATATATCGCCAGAGTTGGACTGTTGGAAAGCTGGATTTGCTTCCTCCAGGACCTGCCATGCCATTTATCAAAGATGGGTATGAATTGTCTTTAATCCTTGTAAGACTTCAAGTTATTGACAACGTAGGAAGTACTCCTTCATTTTATTTTTTTTGCAACAAGAAAAATTTATAAAGGCACTACGTTCAGACAACTGACAGGAGATTAAAAAAAACTTCACACTTAAACCTTACTGCAAGAGACTGTCTTCTCAATAGCTTCTTAACTGTGCATACATCTTATTTGTTGTCTCATTTAAAGGTTTGTTGGGGAAGCTTAATAGTGGAAGTCCAGTGTTTAAATAAGTAATGGAGGTGGTAACAATCAAGGTGCCTGTAAACTTGGGACTATTTTTTGCAGTGGTGTTGTAGGTACTGTAAAGGCTTCATAGGTGTTTCTTTTGTTTCTCAAACTGTTTTCTTAAATAGCCATCATCTCAGCTATGTTGGGACCAGAAAAACATTTCCTTTGGTTGAAAGCTATGTCCAGTGTGACATTGCCTAGTAACACTAGTATTGCAGTAGGCATTTTTGTAATCTGCATTTGGTAGTGATGGTTTTGCTGGCAGCACTTGAAGAAAATATTTATTCTTCCTTCTCTTCTGCAGTAGTAACTTCTATAGACAGATTAGGCAACAAGGAGGCTGTGTATTTATTGGAAAAAAGTGTGTGAATTTTGATTTATGTGTAAATGCTGTTGCTGCTTCTATTAAGGCTATTCATAATCAGTGTGTTCTCAAGTCTCATCAGTCTTGCAGGTCTTTGGAGTTATTCAGCTGCTTAGGGGGGGAAAAAAAGGAATTTAAACATTTCCAGGTGATACTTTCCTCATGGATCTGGCTGAATCTGCTGTTGGTACACCCAGTATATTTTCTTAGTGTTGTGTGTCAACACAAGATATAAATAAAGCATGAAAGGGAAGAGGTGCCCTTTAGGCTCCGTATATCCAGAACTTGTAGTTTTTACTGTCTACACTTGTTTCCTGGAAGCTTTGTGGAAAGAAAAAGACAAGAAAGGAGGAGGGGGAGGATTCTTTAACAGCACTGACAATGGGAATTCTGCAAAGTCATTTAGAACAAACACTTGAAGTTCCTTAGGGAATGAAAATCTTTTGTAGATTGTGAAAGACTACTTCAAAAAAAAAAAAGCAAATATTAATTAGGGAGGTCCTTGTTTAGCAATTTGAGACTGACTTGACTTCTTGGTTTTGAAATTTATTTAAAGTATTTCTTTCTTCTCATGGCTCCTATCAGTGACGGAAGCACTATGGATCAAGAGTATGGCCCTGCATACACGCCGCAAACTCATACTCCGTTTGGAATGCCCCCGGGAAGTGCACCACCCAGCAATGGTGGAGCTGGGATTCTCCCTTCTCCTTCCACCCCTCGTTTCCCAACTCCCAGAACACCAAGGACTCCTCGGACTCCTCGTGGAGCTGGTGGGCCAGCAAGCGCGCAGGGGTCAGTCAAATATGAGAACTCTGATTTATACTCACCAGCTTCCACGCCATCGACGTGTAGACCACTTAATTCTGTTGAACCTGCAACTGTGCCTTCCATTCCAGAGGCACACAGTCTGTACGTGAATCTCATCCTCTCAGAGTCTGTAATGAATCTCTTCAAAGACTGTAACTTTGACAGCTGCTGCATATGCGTTTGCAATATGAACATCAAAGGTGCTGATGTTGGAGTTTACATTCCTGATCCAACACAAGAGGCCCAGTATCGGTGTACCTGTGGTTTCAGTGCTGTTATGAATAGGAAGTTTGGCAACAGTTCTGGACTGTTTCTTGAAGATGAATTAGATATTTTAGGTCGTAACACAGAGTGTGGCAAAGAAGCAGAAAAACGCTTTGAAGCTCTCAGAGCTACTTCTGTTGAACATGGCAGTGCAGGACTGAAAGAACCGGAGAAACTGCCTGATGAGTTAATACTGTTGCTGCAAGATCAATGCACCAACTTGTTCTCACCATTTGGAGCAGCAGATCAAGATCCTATTCCCAAAGTCAGTGCAGTTAGCAACCTGGTACGTGTAGAAGAAAGGGATTGTTGCAATGACTGCTACTTAGCCTTGGAACATGGACGCCAGTTCATGGACAATATGTCAGGAGGGAAAGTTGATGAAGCACTTGTGAAAACTACTTGCTTGCACCACTGGTCAAAAAGAAACGGTAAATACTGCAAACAACTTATTTACTACTTGTCCACCTACAAATTTTTGTGTGTTTTCCTTGTTGGATATTGGATACTTAAAAACAGCTTTTTCACCTGCGTGAATACATGTAGTGTTGTTCCAAACATGTTTCAACTGTGTTCATAACAATGATTCTTTAGGCTTGTTCTTTTAAAGCAACTTGTGGTGACTGCATCCACAGAGGTTCTGTGGAATGAGTGAATGTTGGGAAGTGTAGGTGGTTCAAATGGGGACTGTGCCATGAAAGGCTACTGTGGTAGAGTGAAACGATGTGTGATTCAGTTGGCTTCTGCCCCCTGTGAGAGGGGGTGGTAGTTGAATGGTGTGTGTGGTAAACAGTGCTTCTTTGTGGCCTTTGCTGTACGTTGGATCTACTGAAGGCACTTGGACTTTTCTTTCCATGCCTTGTCTGCTAATGCACTGTCTCACAGAACAGCCTTGCCTATAGATATTTGCTATCTACCTCTCCTCTCAGTAGCAGTCCTTCAAGTAGCAACTATAGCTGGGTAAACAGTAAAACATGGAACTTAAAGAAGTTAGCTGCAGTTAATAGTCATTGGTGAGGGCAAAGAGGATGAACAGCAAAGCACAAATGGGTTTCAGTGTATCTGTATGGGGCATTAAAGTTTATTAAGTCCCTGGTTCTGGTTCTAGATGAATCAATGCTTTCAGGTACCCAGGAGAAAAAACACTTGGTATTATGTGACCTTGGTGGTTAGGATATAAAGATGTCAAGATGCTTTTTAGAGCAAGGTTGTGAAACTGTAGCCCTAACAAATTTTATGTCGGTTTTTTATTCTCTAAGTTTGTGTGTTAGATGGCATAGTGGTGGGAATATGATGAAATGGACCACGTCTGAAGCTTCTGTTGGCTTCTCTGGAGGGAGCGCTGGGTAGCAGACTGCCTAAACCTCCTTGTTGGGAGGGGAAAATTCTGTAGTTTTTAACTTGCACAGCTTGATAGGGTGGTTAGTTTGTTTTGTTTCCTCATTTTAGGCTAAGAGGTAAAAATGCTAAGATATTAAGGCTTTCAGGAGAAGAAACTGTACGGACAAGAAACAGTTTGTTATTCTTAAATGACTGAGTTAGGAAGAAGAAAACTCTAAATCTGTGTACTAAACTTCTTCTATCTTGGCCTTTGGCTGACCTGCATGAACAGCACATGCATTTTGGAAGAAAGCAGTTGTCTAAAATCAAGGTGTCTCTTAGGATCTGTGGAAGGTTGTATTTTACCCTATTGTAGTGGCAGACCTTGACAGCTCTTTTTGTCCTTTCAGTTGTGGACGTGAGCATGCAGTGTTCCCAGGACATCCTTCGGATGCTGCTCTCACTTCAGCCCGTTCTTCAAGATGCCATTCAGAAGAAGCGCACGGTCCGGTCGTGGGGTGTGCAAGGCCCTCTCACGTGGCAGCAGTTCCACAAAATGGCTGGCAGAGGCTCTTATGGTAAGCTGCTGTGTAGACTCCTGTCTGTTGGCCTTTGCTCGATCCGGCCACCAAACCTCACTGTCTGGATGCTGCCCAGCCTGTTGGAGTTCTGAACAACATCTGGACCGTTCTTTATACTAATGAGAGCCATTAGACTGGGGAGAATTCTTCTCTTTACAGAAGCAGAAAATATTTTTTGAAACAGTGAATTAATTTCAAGTGTCTGTGTGCTTAAAATTGCCAATTGCACTGCTTGTATACATTTGACACTTATCCAAGTGAGAGACTGAAATTATCAAGATGGGTTCAGTGTTGAAAATGGAGCAGTTACTAAATGTTAGCTTTGAAATACTTGGTAAAATGTACTTTATTGATCAGTAGTTTAGTTATAGTGAAGACCTGAGATCATCCAGTGTGCCGTGTCTATTACAAACAGTTGGAGCAGCCAACATGTGTTTACAGATAGGACAGTCAATTTTGTGCACTCATCTGAAGCTTTAAACTCTGATTTCGTAAACGTGTGTGTGATTTTCATTTGCCAACATGGAGAAGACCAGCCTTTCACCAGTGGATCTTTTGGAGCTATTCAAATATTTAGAACACCATAATTACACATTTAGGATATGTGTAAATGTGTGTTCTTCACTGTTTTCCTTCTGTGGTCCTTCATGTATCCACTTAAACTATCTACATCTCTTTCCCTTCTTTTTTGATCACTAACTCCTTAGATTCTATGAGGAAGGCTTCCTGGACAGTGAAGATCTGTTTCTGATTGTATGGTGGTAAACATAATAAACAACTGTGTAACTTCTTTAGGCCCTGGGAGATTTCAGATGAGAATAATTAGCTGTTTTTTTCTTATTTGTGTGCTTATTTTCAGGGGGTTGGATCATGCAATCCATGCTTTTTGTTTGTTTGTTAAAAGGAAAACTATTCCATTTATTATCAGTGCTACTTCCTTTTAGATGCTGGGAATGCTAGTGTTTCTTCTTTTCATGTTTTCCTAGAAGCAGGTTGTTAATTTTTAAGCTTGCTGCTTAATATATTGGAAAAATCTATCTTGCTTTTCCAGGAACTGATGAGTCCCCAGAACCACTGCCAATCCCAACGTTTTTGTTGGGCTACGATTACGATTTTCTGGTGCTGTCTCCGTTTGCATTGCCGTACTGGGAGAGGCTGATGCTGGAACCTTATGGATCTCAAAGAGATGTTGCTTATGTTGTGGTGTGCCCTGAGAATGAGGCTCTGCTAAATGGAGCAAAAAGCTTCTTTAGGGATCTGACTGCAATATATGAGGTACATTATTTATGGCAGTTAGCAGTGAAATGGGTTTTTGAAAAACTGTTTCTAATACACGCTCATAACTACTTATCAGGCTTGTCTCCCATGATATAAATGCTTGCACAGAATCCTATCTCAGAAAGCTGCTAGAAAGGATTTTAGGAACGGGCACTTGAAAGATAAGGGCTGTTCATGCTGCTCATCTTTCCTTTTAGTAATAGATGTTTTGAGAATCTGTATCAGATAAACGCCACTCAGTGGTAAAACTGTGCATTGCCTCTTGAGTTTTAGTTATGTTAGGTGAATTCATTACATGCCTGTGTTACTTAGATTGTGGTTAAGATTTTTTCTTAATTAACCTTTTTTTCTTGTATTTAGTAAAACATGAAAATAAACTGTAAAATCATTATACAGTGCTCTAAAATCATTAGGCAGCATTTCATACCGATGTCGTTTTCTAGAATTAAAATATTACTTAGGAATGTCATAACTAAGCTATGAGTCTTTCTCTGTCTCTCTCTCTGCTCGTTTGTTTGATATTTTATTATTATTATTTTTTAATCCCTACCTCACATCTTATTTTGCTTTTGCAGTCTTGCAGACTTGGCCAACATAGACCTATCTGTAAATTATTGCCTGATGGAATCATGAGAGTTGGACCTACTGCTTCAAAGAAACTTTCTGAGAAGCTGGTCACAGAATGGTTCTCACAGACAGCTAATGCCAACAGTGAAGCATTTTCCAAACTCAAACTGTATGCCCAAGTTTGCAGATATGAGCTGGGTATGAATATTTTTTTTTTGTTTTGTTCTTATTCCATGGAGTTAACACCTAATCCACTGCAGAAGAAGAGCAGTCATTGGACTTACTTATTGAATCTGCTCTTTGTTGCAATCTTCTAATTTTAAGCTAGGAAAAAAATAAAGAAGAAAACCCATATCTTTAGATATGTTCTAAAATGGCTGCTTATCTATCAGTATTTCTTAGGGAATGGCAGTGCTCTTGCTCAATAGAGACTGCTACTGTCTTTTTCCATTGCTGTCTTAGGTTCTGAGGCAGTGATTTCTTGCTCAAGTTCTAATGACTTGAAAACAAAAATTACTTTTGAAATAGATTTCTGAGTGTTTCTGGAAGTGTTATAAGACTATTAGAAATGGAAATGTTAATGCTTGTATTTTTTTGAAAGATAAAATATATGCTTAAGTTTTGCTAAAACTGCTCTAGGCTTAGTCTAAGTATACACAAAACTAGTTGCAATATAAAATGTATGGATTTATTTTCCTGTTTTTTTAGGTCCTTATCTTGCTTCTCAGCCTTTGGACAATTCATTACTTGCCCAAACAAATCTGGTCCCTCCTTCTAGCCAGCCAGCCTCTGCTCTGCCCCCAGTGACTGCCAGCACTGGAAATCCCAACACTCCGTCTGCTCCTGCAGCTTCTACCAGTAGTACTATGACAGCAACATCAAACAGTGCCATGTCTTCTGCAGCTACTACAGCTAACTCAACTTTAACTACCACTGCCACGTCATCCTCTTCTGCTAACATAGGCAGTGGGATCCCAACAAACAAGCCTTCTTCGTTTCCACCTTTTAGCAGTATGAACAATACCACTTCTGCTTCCCTGCCCTCTCAGGCTGCAACAGTCCAAAACGGGCAAACAGGAGGACAGCAGCAACAGCCGGTGCTGCAAACGGCAGGGATGTCTGGAGATGCTGCTACAGCACCTGCACAGCCTCACCCAGAGGTTTCTGAAAGGTAATGGAGCTGTTAAAACTCACTCTGCCCACAAGAGCTATGTGCTGATGAGCTTCTGTAAGAAAGAAGGCAAAAGAAAAAAAGCAAGTAATGCTGAGCTGCTGGCAAGCTCACATACAAAATTGAATTATAAACACAATTTCTTATGCCACAGTTAACTTAAAGGTCTTTAATCTTTGATAGTTTTGTCTTTAGTTCTAACTTAAGTAAAAATAAGTCACTCTAAAACTCAGTGTTTTGTAACTGCTTTCAAAATTTCACTTTCAGCACTATGGATCGTGATAAAGTTGGAGTTCCTACAGATGGGGATTCACACGCTATCACCTACCCACCTGCCATTGTAGTTTACATAATTGATCCTTTTACATATGAAAAAAAGGATGAGAACAGTAGCTCATCTAGTTTGTGGACACTTGGACTTCTGCGCTGCTTTTTAGAAATGGTTCAGGTTCTTCCTCCTAACATCAAGAATATAATTTCTGTGCAGGTGAGCCAACATACGCATAAATGTGCCTAATAAAATATCTTTGGCTTTAGCTGTGTTTTGGAGGTGATAATACCCTTCTTTTGTTCTCTGAGGAAATTTTCAATGAGAAAAATGAGAAAATATGATTCAATCATAGAATCATAGAATCACTCATGTTGGAAAAGACCTTAAGATCGAGTCCAACCACGACCTATCCATACCACCCTAACTCTAACAACCCTCCACTAAATCATGTCCCTGAGCCATGTAGCTTTAGTCCAAGTGGCAGACCTCAAAGAATTAGAGAAATGATTGTATAGTTAAATCCTGAAAGCAGCGTACCCAAATACGATCTCAAGAAATGTAATAACGAAACAATTTTATTTCCCTGTGTGACCTATTCTAGATTGTTCCATGTCAGTACCTTCTGCAGCCAGTGAAACACGAAGACCGGCAGATTTATACTCAGCATTTGAAGTCTTTAGCATTTTCAGCATTTACTCAGTGTCGGAGACCTCTTCCATCTTCCACCAACGTGAAAACGTTAACTGGCTTTGGCCCAGGCTTAGCCATGGAAACGGCTCTTAAGAGCCCTGATGTGAGTATTCTTATGATTAATGTGGTTCTCTTAATATGCAGATGAGAGAAACGTCCCTTTTTATTAAATTGTTGCTGTCTTTCATGTGGACTGAACAGAGTTCTTAAGAATAATCACTACTTGAAACATCATTTTCTGTTCTGTCGTCCTTATAGAGACCTGAGTGTATTCGACTGTACACCCCTCCTTTTATATTGGCTCCTGTAAAAGACAAGCAAACAGAGCTTGGAGAAACTTTTGGAGAAGCTGGCCAGAAGTACAATGTGCTTTTTGTAGGCTACTGTTTGTCTCATGATCAAAGATGGCTTCTTGCATCCTGTACAGATCTCTATGGAGAACAGTTAGAGACGTGCATAATAAATATTGATGTACCAAACAGGTAAGTACCAAACTCCTTTGATTTTTAGCATGTGTATATTCTTTCTTTCAAAGAATTATTTTCATCAAGATGATGTAAGAATATCTCTTGCTTTTGTAGACCCATTATGTTGCAAATTTAAACAAAGTGGATAATTTCAGTCTTATGCGTATATTGAGTTAAATTTCTAGAAGGAATATCACATGGTTTCCTGTGATTTATGAATGCTTTTGTTTGTGTGATTTCCCCCTTCCACACCCCTTCTTCTGGCTTTTGGTGTCAATGTTAGAATGTGATGAATGAAAAGCGAACCAATCAAACCTTTTTTGAAGTTGCTCTTATGAGCCACAATATTAACATTCTTGTGTCCTGTGAATGTTCAGGTTAGTACAAATAAGTTCCAAAGCTGGCAATAAAGTTTGTTGCAGATGGGTTCAAGTTTTGTTTTCTCTTCTGTTTTAATTTTAGAGCTCGCAGGAAAAAGGGCTCTGCCCGCAGGCTTGGTCTTCAGAAACTCTGGGAATGGTGCCTGGGACTCGTGCAGATGAGTTCTTTGCCTTGGAGAGTCGTAATAGGCCGCTTAGGAAGAATAGGGCATGGGGAACTAAAAGGTAATGTTTGCTTTTTAGAGTCTAAAACTCAATTTGAAGCTTTCATTTGAAATAGTCTAGCGTCAATCTCTTTTTGGAAGAAAACCTAGGTAAAGCATACAAAGGAGCTCTAAGTTAATACACATGAATGCTACATCATTTGTAGAATAAGCATTCTTCAGCAAGCACTGTTCTTCTAGGCAAATGTATGTCCTTTGTATCCTCAGATTGGAGTTGTTTGTTGAGTCGCCGAAATCTTCAGTCCCTCAGTAAGAGGCTGAAAGACATGTGCAGAATGTGTGGCATCTCTGCTGCAGACTCTCCCAGCATTCTCAGTGCTTGTTTGGTAGCAATGGAACCACAGGGGTCCTTCATTATTATGCCAGGTATGTGAGAAACCACATTTTGGTGGGGGAACTTATAGTTTGTTTTTGCAAAACTAAGGAAATATTTTTCTCCCAAAGATTCTGTGTCGACCGGCTCTGTGTTTGGACGCAGCACCACTTTAAATATGCAGACATCTCAGCTGAATACCCCCCAGGACACGTCGTGCACTCACATACTTGTGTTCCCCACATCTGCTTCTGTGCAAGTAGCATCGTCAACTTATACCACTGAAAACTTGGATCTGGCCTTCAACACAAACAATGGTAAGTAGATTGGATTTATTCTTGTTTTAAAAACAAACCAACCAAAGACCCATCATCACTCTCCCTGTAGGAGGAATAAGACTTTACTGAACCACAACATTTATATGGAAAATCACTTGATTTCAGAATGTGCTGTCATATGCCATAGGTAAGGAAGCTGTAGAAATTAACTGTTTCTGTTCTTTTTCAAGATGGAGCAGATGGAATGGGCATCTTTGACTTGTTAGACACTGGAGATGATCTTGATCCTGATATTATAAATATACTTCCTGCATCACCTACTGGATCCCCTGTACATTCTCCAGGGTCCCACTACCCCCATGGAGGTGATATGGGCAAGGTAACTGTTAGAGTAAATATGGAGGGGTGTGTGTGTGGTTGTTTGCTTTCTGACATCTACTTATTTCCTTTCTGAAATGGAATGTTTCTGTGAAATATTTTGAATTAATTGGATGTTGGATTGTCATTGTAAAAATCCATGTAATGCCTGGATCTTTCAAAATACTTTGTGATTTGAAAGCTGCAGATAATTTCTCCTAACTCTGCGGTCTCCTAATAGTAAAACCATTGCCTGTTGTTTTTTTTATAGGGTCAAGGTACAGATCGACTGCTTTCAACAGAATCTCACGATGAAGTAACAAACATACTGCAACAGCCACTGGCCCTTGGTTATTTTGTGTCAACTGCCAAAGCAGGTCCCTTGCCTGACTGGTTTTGGTCAGCGTGTCCTCAAGCACAAAATCAGTGTCCCTTGTTTCTTAAGGTACTGTACCTTCAGCAGGCTGCACTGGCTTGTCTATTTTAGTTATTTTTTTTTAACAGAGAATTAATTTACCCTGAGTACCTTTTGTATGTAATAGTCAGACCTTAAGGGACAGCAACTGAACTTTGAAGTCTGCATATTATTAGAAATCTTGTGTCACTGGAGTTTGCCTTTTTAATCATCATTTAATGTAGGCACAAATATTTTAAAAACGATTTCCTTAGGTGTATTACACTATTAGCATTGTGCTTTTAGGAGAAAGAATTCCTGCACTCATGAGCTGCATAAGGATATGCTTTCTTTAACTTGTATGTCAGAGAGTAGTAAGTGGCTGCAATATTTGGGTCAGCAGAACAAAGGGAAGGAAGTTATAGTTGAATCAGACACTGACTGCTAACATCTTCCTTCCTTCCTTAGGCCTCTTTGCACCTCCACGTGCCTTCAGTGCAATCAGACGAGCTACTCCACAGTAAACACTCCCATCCACTTGATTCTAATCAAACTTCTGATGTGCTCAGGTATTTGTGATTGATTGCTTGCAAAAACAGTTGTGCATTTCATTTTTAATACTGCTGGTGTGGATCTGGATATTTGGTTTTTTTTTGCCATTAGTTTTTTCATTGTATCACTGCTCTTAGTACATCACAAAACAAATTGCTGTGCACCGAAGGATGAAAAAACGTCTTCACTACAAGACAGTGTGGTTTAATACAGACATCTCTAAACTCTTATTTAACTAACTAATGTTGATTACAACTGAAAATATTTGAAAAATATTAAATTCGTTAAAAAATAGTGCATAAATGAGAGGAGGATGGTAATACCTGAGCCAGAATCTTATGTGAGTCGTGGGAATACTGAAGTACAGGGGCGTGTAGATAGTCGTGTACACATAAGACACTTGTTAATGAGAAAGCAGCACCACATTTGTGTTTTTTGGTATGTGAATCTCTCAGCATGAATTATCAACAACTATGATTAGATTAATTATTGATTAGATTGGATTAGATTATTGATTAAAATAATAGAGTATTTTCTACTGAAATGAAGTTTAGCTTTAATCTGCTCTCAATAATTCTACAGTTGTGTTATTTCAAAATGTTGGCAAACCCATTTTATATGTTTAATACCAAAGCAACTGCATTGCATTAAACTGGTGCTGTAAAATGCTGGTGAGAAAAATCTGTTGGCTTGATGGAAGCTTGTTTGCTTTTCAGGTTTGTTCTGGAACAGTACAATGCACTCTCCTGGCTAACCTGTGATCCTGCAACCCAGGACAGACGGTCATGTCTCCCGATTCATTTTGTGGTGCTGAATCAGTTGTATAACTTTATCATGAATATGCTGTGACCTTCATCTGAATTTTGCAAGACAAAAAATGAGGAAAAGGGATATTTCACTGCAGGACTAAGTTATAATTCTTCTCAGTGCAAGTTGTTTGTGATGGGGTATGAATCTTGTTACTTCCAGCAAATATTGTTTTGACTTGTGAGAGGGGTACTTATCACCTGCTGTCTTTGAGTCAATGACTATGGGGGACGCTTTAGAATGATGATCAGAAAGTGTATTATAACATTTTTAGTAGCAAAATTAACCATTTTTCCCCGGTCACAGTATTTGTGAAGAGTAATGAGCCATAGTACCCAGTCACGGTTAATGAATATTAAAAGCATGGAGATGAGAAGAAACGTGAGGAACAATGAGTTTCAACCTATGGCTTCAGAACATCAAGATGTTCTTGTATTGGATTATAGTACCTAGTATTCAAAAATGCCTGCATCTCTTATTTATTGTAAGTTTTTAAATGTATAAATTGTCTTATATTTCTTAACCTCTTTTATAAAAATTTTCCTAGAAGGTTTATACTGCCTTCTTGCTTTAAAGCAATTGGTCTAAAATATATGTAATCGTCTTAATTAAAAGTTGCAGTAGGTTGCTTTTAGAGTATTATTTTTTTGTAAGGGGGTGGGCGGGGACAGTAAATTTGTATTGTCTTGATGTACAGTTTAATGGGTATAGAGGGGTTAATGTCCATACCATTGTGTGTGGGGGATTTACAGCTAAGCTGTAGTTGCAGAGTACATGTACAGTAATGAAGTTCACTGTGTTTATATAAATTGAAAAGGTACCGGGTCTTACAGCATTTTATATCACACCTTTACAGAGTAACAATGGCAATATATCAGTGATATTGTAGGTGGTTTAACTTGTAGTGAGAATAAAACGAATAAACTCTTCAACTGAAGTTTGTGTTATGGTTCAGGGCTGTGGCTAGATTCTCAGATCTGTTTCCAGTATCCTAGTTTAATTATTACAAGAATATCTATTTGTGCATTGCTGTTGCTAGATATTCTTGGCACTGTGGTGAGCATTATTTTCTCCTGTTTGTGACAAAACACAAACCTAAAGTGGAAGGCACAGAACACAGATCTTACCCAAAGTCTCCAGTGAGGCTGAAATTTAGCCCAGCTCTAGCCATTTTACAAATGCAAAAACAGTCAATCTTGACTTTAAGATTGGTGTGTGTTTAACTAAAACGTGATGTATATAGATTCTCAGTGAATTCTGGTATTCAGATTTTATTCCCTTAGTTGAGGGGGGGGGAACTAAAAAATATCCCAATCACCCAAAAAAACTGAAAAAACAACAAAATGCCCCAAATGCTTTCCTCTTTCATGTATTTTTGTCATGGTGGTGAAGGTTCCAAATATCAGTGTATGGCCTTTCCCATATCCCCTTTTCAGACTGGGGTGTGTGTGCTAAGGAGGCTCAGCCCTCCCTGAGGAATGGCCTGACAAATCACAAGGCTTTGGTAAACCTCTCCTCCTTCACCATTTCTTCCTCCGTAGTTTCCTTCCTTTCTCCTAGCAGACACCAAATGTCTGATGGTGCTCTAAAATAGCCCCTACGGGTGCTGAAGAGCAACTGCATCTGCTTTTCCTTGGTTCCTCATCTTCTGACTGCCAGATTGAAAGCTTAACTCCTGCAGTGCTCACGTGAGTCTGTTGCTGTAATCATGTCCTGGGTCTTAACGCTGTCCGTCGAGCTGGTTAAACCTGTACAGGAGCAAGTTAAGATCCATTTTTGCACCCACTGTTAATCCTCTACAAGGAAGAAATCACTTGTATTTACAAAACGTACTATGTTAATGAAAATTATGGTTTTGTAAATGCAAAATACCTGCCTGAGAATTTTTTTCTTACAATGTCTCCTTGAATTATGTATATACAATATTAGCGCCTTTTTTGTTTTGTATAAAGAAGTTGTACAATTGATGAAAACTTTCAGTCATTTCTTCAAAATAATTTGAGTGCAATCAACAGTTAGCATATTTTGATACATAGTTAATAACTGGGTCTGTCCAATCATTCATCTTGATGAAGCAGCACATGTTTTTGTCTTACAGAGGGTTTTTCCCCTCATTTGGTTGAGATTTCTGAAGTGGAGAACTGCTCCTAAAACTGAATCTTCAAAGTACATGTCCTAATTTTTTTTTTTTTTTTTGAAGTTTTGTTGCTTAAGTGGTCTTTTTTAATCCTGCCTCAGCTAGCCATGTTCCAAGAGCTGGGATTGGTGTGGCTTTTTGTGTTGTTCATACAGGTAAGTGAATCAGCTGCCTAAATTGTGATACAACTCAGTTCTGTTACCCAGACCATAACCTTCCCTGTGAAGATCTCCAATTGTGAAAGCTGCCAGTTTCCAGTTTCCCACTTCCACTGTTCCCCTTCCCTTTCCAGTGCAGTTAAAGTAAATGATAATTAAATTAATACTGTAACTACTAAAAAAAATGAGGAGGGCCACTTCTGAATAGTCACAGCTGGAGGGAGGTGTACATATCAACATTGCCAACACTGTGCAGCTAACTACTACACTGAGCATAGTTTTTCATTAGCTACTCTCTTTTCACTATTTTAAGTGCACATAATTGCAGATTTATAAATAAAACTGTCACGAGCCAGTAACTCGGGTTCTTTAGCAAGTGCAATCTTAAATATTTGAAAACCTCAGCTCTGGCTTCTCAAAGGGGTCTTGCAAAAACATGTTGTTCTGGCAGTGCTCTGTTGAGGGGAGTTTCCACATCTACTCCTTCTGTGTGTCCAAAGAAAGAGAAATCTGAGATCCTTCCATTCCAATTAAAAATACATATTTTAATTGAGCTCTGCAGGAATCGAGTCACGTAGTAACCTCTGCCTTGTTGCTGTTTGGGTCAGTTCTGAGCACACAGTGCAGGCCAGCAGGCCACCACTCCTACTTGTCAGCAATGCTTCTGTTTTAAAGTAGCTCTCACGTGTAGATCTTCCTGACGTTTCCTGAAATAATTAAAAAGGAATTTATATTTAAATCCTCAGCTATATTCCTCCTTAGCTGTCAGTGTGGCACAGATCACTGTATTTCTATATTTACCTCCAGTGGTAATTTTAACTTCATGTGTTGCTATGAAGATGGGCTGCTGTCTTTGTGTTAAACACTGTCCCACCACCACATGGTGCAGCATTATTTTTAAGCTTTCAACGAGAGTTAAATGTTTTTTTTTTTATTTATTTTTAAAGGCTGTTTCCCCATCTGCTTTGCTGCACAGCACTGCACGTCCCTGCTGAGCACTGCTGGGAGCTGTGCTGGCTGGGGTTGCTGTCAGCTCAGTGCTACTGGGACAGCGCTGTCCCACAGCCCCGGCTGAGGGCTTCTTCCTTCCTGAAGGACCCTGTGCTTCATCCTTCGGGGGCTGTCGGTTTTTGATCGGTTTGTGATCGTTACTGTTTATGGGGTGCACTGGAATTTACAGCAGGAGGGGCTGCTGCGCTCCTCAGGGCTCTCCTTTGGAGCCGTTGTGGGCTGGGGGTGCAGCGCTGGGTCACTTCTAGAGGAGGTTTGCCTCTTTTTTTTTTTTTTTCCTTTTCAATGCTCCCTCACAGCCGTGCCGTGCGGCCCAACTCCAATTTATCGCGACAAGCGATGAAAGAACGACCGCTGTCGCTGCCTAATGCTGTAAGCACGGAGTTGTACAAACTGGGATCGAGGAAACTGTGGGGGCGGGGGGAAGAAGGTTTATACTTTTTAAAAACAGAAAAGAATTTCAGTGGGATAAATTATTCATGGAGGCTGGGTTGCGGTATCTCCTCCACGGCGGGGGGTGGCAGGGCCGCGCCGAGGCCTAACTGCCGCGCCCAGCCCGCCCCGCTTCCGGCCGTGACGTCATCACCGCGCGCCGGAAGTGGGCGCGGTGCGGCCGTGGGACGGGGCCGCGGCCCTGCGGCCGCCATGGCGGAGTGTTCGGGGCTGCAGTTCGTCAGTCCGTACGCCTTCGAGGCGATGCAGAAGGTGGACGTGGTGCGCCTGGCCGCGCTCAGCGACCCCGAGCTGCGTCTGCTGTTGCCCTGCCTGGTGCGCATGGCTCTCTGTGCCCCCGCGGACCAGAGCCAGAGCTGGGCCCAGGACAAGAAGCTCATCCTGCGGCTCCTCTCGGGCGTGGAGGCCGTCAACTCCATCGTGGCTCTGCTGTCCGTCGATTTCCACGCGCTGGAGCAGGACGCCAGCAAAGAGCAGCAGCTCCGGTAACGCCCGGGTTCTCCGGCGGTCTGATTGAGGCCGCTTTCCCCTCAGTTTTATGTTAATTTGTATGTTTTATTTATTCAATTTGTCGAAAATGGCTCTATGTGATCCTGGCAGTGCGGGGTGCTGAAGAGAAACCAAGGGGCAGCGCTTCCATTGTGCAGCTGGGGAGTGGAGGCCTTTGAAATGGTGCCTCTGTTCTCTGAGTGCACCCTTTTAATGCCTGAATAGATTTAACACGGAATTGACTTCGTAATACTGTAGTTACAGTGCTCTTTTTCGACCTTAAACGCAATAGAAGAAATCCCTGCTGAAACGGCTGAAATTTGCATGAAATGGCATCGCTGTGTTTTCGTTGTCTGGCAGGCACAAGCTGGGAGGAGGCAGCGGGGAGAGCATCCTGGTGTCACAGCTGCAGCACGGGCTGACGCTGGAGTTTGAGCACAGCGATTCGCCCCGCCGGCTCCGCCTGGTGCTCAGCGAGCTGCTGGCCATCATGAACAAGGTGGGCTCATTTACTGCCTGGTTCTGCTGCTGTCGTGTCAGCGTGTATCCGGTTCTTATCTGCTTCACCAAGGTTTAAAGATTCAGTCTTACCAAGCACTGGCCTGTGGTTCAACTCTGTGTGAACCCAGCGCCCTGGAGGAAACCTTTCTTCCTCAAAATGAATGAGGATAATCTTTTCTGATATGACAGGGACTCAGTATGTCTCAGAATGTGCTTTATTCAAATGTAACTTGATTTTGCGAGGCTTCAGTGCAGAAACCATATCTGAAAATGAAATTATGTTTTTCGTTTCTATTTTATTTTTCAGTTTTGCTGCAGTGTGGTATTGGCCAACGCATTTCTCTTGTTTTTTTCTGCCTATATTTTATTTTTCCTGTGCAAACTTACTGTATTTCTGGTGTTCTCACTGAGCTGTGTTTCTTCTGGAAAGAAACAATAATACTGGTTTTATTGGAGTACTTCTGGTAGTAAATATTAATTATTCTAAACATTCATCCTGACTATTCTGTGATTAGAACCGTCCATTTTTGGTAATTTTAATATGTTGTATTATCTATTCAATTCAATGCTATGAAAGTCTGATAAGACAAACTTCTTCATACTGTTTGCTGATGAGAAATTCCTCGTAGGTGTCGGAGTCGAACGGGGAGTTTTTTCTCAAATCTTCTGAGCTCTTTGAGAGCCCTGTCTATCTGGAGGAAGCAGCAGATGTTCTCTGCATTTTGCAAGCAGGTATAGTGCTCTGTTGTACTGTGTTCATTAATATTGCTTTGCTTTTGAGTTCGTAACTTTTTACAAATAAATAAAAAAATAACTTTTTGAGCTGCTGTGGTTGATTTAACGTTAATCTAGGCTCTCTATCTCTTTGAAAGTGGAATAAACCACAGATTAACCCATTTTTTTCATTCATATGTTTCAGCATGTTTTTATTTGTTTTGTAGTGAAACACTCTAACTGTGAAAACTCTTTTTGTCCAGAGCTGCCATCGCTTTTGCCTATAGTTGACGTAGCTGAAGCGCTGCTGCACGTTAAAAATGGAGCCTGGTTCCTCTGCCTGCTGGTGGCAAATGTTCCTGATAGCTTTAATGAGGGTGAGCTAAGGTTTTTTTCTTGTCTAGCTTACTTGTTCTGGAGATTTGTAATAAAGTTGATTCTGGGCTAAATTATTTATTGTAGATATTAGAACTGGATGCTGATAGATCTTTCCTTCTCAGTACGTCCACCCCCCTTTTCTCAGCCTAATTGTAGTGTGTGAGCATTCCCATTTGTAGGTCACCTTTCTAAAGGCTGATTCCAACAATCAATCCCAGCAGCTACTGGGATTTGAACCTGGTTGGCCTTGCTGTTAGTACCTGCCTCTCAGATTGAGCCATACTATGAGGTGAAACCTGTAGTGACGATGCCTGCATAGTTTCTATTACCACGCAATAAAATTTCATTCTCTAGTGCTGGCAGATGCACAGCTTGCATTAGGTAGAGTGTAAGCAGTAATTGGGTGATGCATAAATCTGTAAACATCTTGTAATTTCTTAGAGAAGAAAGGATTTCCTTGTTCTTCCCACTCAGTGTTAGTCGCTGCTTCTTAGTGTAATCCAGCTAATGGATCATAGTGAGCTGAGCAGAACATTTTGACTCTGTGTGTTTGTGGCTTTCTATTGGAAAGATGAGATTAAATTACACCTCCTGTTGGTTGTTCAGTCTGTAGAGGTTTGATTAAGAACGGGGAACGGCAAGATGAGGAAAGTGTTGGAGGTCGTCGCAGAACAGAAGCACTCCGTCACCTCTGTAAGATGAATCCTTCCCAAGCTCTGAGGGTCCGAGGCATGGTGGTGAGTCTGACACACATCTGCTGTGAGACAAGATGTGAGAGACTTAATTGTGGTCCTTACTGGAATGTTAACAACAAAAAGGTGATTAGTGGTGGACCTTTCGTCTAGGTGGAAGAATGCCATCTACCAGGTCTTGGTGTGGCTTTGACATTGGATCACACCAAAAATGAATCTTCAGATGATGGAGTGAGCGACCTGGTGTGTTTTGTGAGTGGTTTGCTGCTTGGAACGAATGCAAAAGTTCGAACTTGGTTTGGAACTTTCATCCGAAATGGCCAGCAGGTAAGGCAATCATTGAATAAACTGCTTTTAAAAAATAGTTCTGTGCTGTAATAGTAATAGTGCTGTAAATCTT